ATTATTGTCAAGGAGGACAAAGCGACCAACAAAATTTTTATTTGCTAGATAATATTTTTCTTCAAACAAACTATATATGATAGGGAGGTGTGGTCAAACCGAGAGTTCAAACTTCGGCCAGGAGCCAGATCACTTGTTGATCTGCATGGTAGCAGGGAAATTACTTGTAAAAATCATTCCCGGCAGGGTTTAGTATGTGTCGACAGACCCAATCGTATGTCAAAAGCATAAGTTGTCCTTTCTAATCGTTTGTCAATATTGAACCTCCGCCTTGGAAACGACCGTATAATAATCTCTTCAGTCATATAGGCTGGGAATAATAACTTTGGTAGATCGTCTCATCAAGTCAAAAATCCTGTCTTGGGCGATTTGATAAAAAGTGTACTGATTTTATTTATTTTGTGATCAGAGAGTTATAAAGGGACTAGGATTATATTGTGGGTTTCACGTTTGGTTGAGACCCTCCTAGTCGACCGACGTTCGTTTCATACCTAGGAGATCAGCGCCCTAGGAAACGGACAGCGTTCGGGTCCACCTGGCGTTAACCAAGCGTAACTATACTCTAGCGAACTAGCAAACGCCCTCGCCTGACCTACCTCTGCAATTACATGTAAAAACTTTCGCATGTGGGTCAGTAGCTCGGTAGGGATACACCCCTGAGGGTGGTGACAACCCCTCAGGGAAGGCAAGATGTGCCCCACGGAAACTTATCCTGTTGTAGGGGACCGTGGGATGTACAGTTGGCGCACCCGGTTAGAGCGGCGAAGGAGCGATGCAACCACGTTCGCTGCGGCGGTTCGCGGGATGTTTTGTGTAGTTCTCAAGTTGTCTCTTGTTTTATTTTTGTTTTAACTTCTGCGTGACATAGCCGGGAGGGCTCCCGCGCTTTGCAAAAAGGTGGGAGTTGATGCGCTCGACGACGCTACCAAAGAACTTGTGGACGATTACTCTCATCTCCCCTTCACCAAGCTCGAGCCTTCTTTGTTTTTTTTTTTTAATATAAAAAAGGCGATGGCCTCGAGGTATCATCATTGAACTGTTTTGCCTCATGTGATTCAAAATGATTTGATTCTTTCTCATGTGATTGTATCTGGATTCAAAATTGGGTCCATATTTGAACAATTATTGGGTGTACCAACTAAGCTAGGCCCGTTGGTCTCGGGCTTTCTTCTGGCTGGTGCCACCAACCATTTTACTCTGACAGGCGGACCCCCGACGAGGGTGCAACTGCATTGGAGAAAGAAACGTATTGACTTACTGTGAAGGCACGAGTGCACAATTTGTAGTTTGTATATGCTTGATTGATAAAGGATGCGTTATTGTCGAGGATTAAACGTAGGGTGATTGTTGCATGAAAAAAAAGGAGTATTTGTGTGTATGTGTCAAGATTAATGTGCGTGTGTGTGCATGTGCATGTTTGTATGATTCTTAGGGTGTTTGTGTTTATCACATTTGTTAGTGTTGGAATGTGTGGGATTTAGGTAATTTGTATGGTATTAATGTATTAGATATTTGACATACCTTGATTTACAGTTGGCGTCGAGGCTGGTGGTCCTTGAATCTTGATCCATATGTCGTATATGTGTTCGCTTGAGTGTTTGTTGTTGTAAGTTTTTTTTTAATAAAATAAAAGTTGTTTCGTCACATGTGATTCACTCAATCGGGCGTGGAACGTGTGGGGCGTTGAATACGTCCACGTTCAGACGCATATGTTTGCACTTGCAAATGCGATGCAGGTGTGTCGTTGCAACCTGCGGCCAAGCCCCCCCCCCTTTCCAATTCAGACTTTTCCACTTTTCCACCCTGCTGCTGCTTTGCCACCATTTTGACCAAAACCCAGCGCGTGGTCCCACGGGCAGCTACCGGTCCTGCATTTTTCAAAGAAACTGCCCCCCCCCCCCAAAGATCCACCCTGCCACTGCTTTGCAAAATTTCGACC